GGGAGAGCTACAGTGCAGAGTATGCGGTCTTTGAGACGGGCGCCAGGCACCCATTCGCCCAGGCAGTGGGCAGGAATATAGCCAATCCCACAGCCATGCTGCTGTCGGCTTCTAACATGCTGCGACATCTCAATCTCGAGTATCACTCCACCATAATTGCAGATGCTGTGAAGAAGGTGATCAAAGTGGGCAAGGTCCGGACTCGAGACATGGGCGGCTACAGCACTACATCTGACTTCATCAAGTCTGTCATCGGCCACCTGCACCCCCATGGGGGCTAGAACCCTTTATTCCTCCCAACCTCACAAGGACACTTCCACCTACACGCCCCTTCAGTACAGTGGACCAGAACTTTATAGACAGCGGACCATAAACCACCCTTCTGGGCAGACTAGGTTGTCCAGAGTCTTCCCTCCCTAAGTAAGGATGGTGGGAGGTGGGATTGTCAGGGATGGACCAAGCCCCAGACATGACTATGGTTCTCCCCACAGTTTCGAACCTCTGACATGGGTGGTTATGCCACCTGCCACGACTTCACTTAGGCTGTCATTGCTGCCTTGCCCCACCCATAGGTCCGGCCTGCACCCATGTAAGCTGGTTAATAAAAGCATATTTATTTACAAAAAAAAAACCCAAAAAAACAAAACCAAAAACAAACTATGCTAAAACTATTCTATTCTATTCTATTCTATTCTATTCTATTCTATTCTATTCTATTCTATTCTATTCTATTCTATTCTATTCTAACTCATTGCTTTATAAACTCATAGCTGACCATTCATTGTTTTTTCAAAGTTTATAATTTGCAAAGAGAGAGATTGCCCATTTTTCTCTTGTGTAGCCTCTAGTGGATTCAAACTACCACAGAAGCATGACCTTTAGGTAAAACCACAAAATCCTTTTATGTCACTAGAGCTCTCTGTATTATATATAGTAATAGCATAATATGCTCTAGACACAAAAATTATCATATACAGTCGTCTTTTTGATACCTATGTGAATCAGTGTGCAACCATTTAGTACTGATAGCACTTCAGTTATAAAGGTACTACTAAAGTTACCTTACAAATGTCAGGATGTTGAGAGTTAAAAAGACAAGTAACTTGTTAATATCTCACAAACTTCAAAGTGACTTCTAGCCACATATTTATTTCTTGCTTGCTCAGCTTCCGTATCCCATAGTAATAGCATTTGAAGAATTGTTTAGATAAGATATGCCCCCATGCTCAGGTCCTATGGTTCTGGTAAGGCTAAGTAGCCTACCAACCTTTTGCACATTTTATGGATGGACATGTTTTATCTAGTGACCAATCATTTCTTGGTTCAATATGAAATGTTTATTTCTAGAGCATCAAGTGTGTATGCAGGAACCTTTTGCTGAAACTACTGCTGCACTTAGAGATAATGCAAACTTACTAGCAGAGTTTACTTTTAAGTAACCATTTGCCTGGAACTGACCAAACAAGAAACACAGTAACTGGAGATAAAGGAAAAAAGAATCATTTCTGGTGACACCCATGAGTTTCTAGATTCAGTCACAAATGAAATAGTTTTAAAAAAAATTCACATATTATAAATCCCCCCTCCTTATTTCCCTTTCATAGAAAAATAACTCCAAAGAAAATATTCTTTTGATCATGTAATACAGGCATCATGGGAAAAAATAAATTTTATAGTTGACTCCTTTAGTGGAGCTAAGAAAAAAAATGTGAAGAGTCAAGTCATGCTTTGGTTTAGATATAAAAGACAATATATTGTTATACTGTATTTTTTTGTTACTGTTATGGAAAATTAGAAGCCTGAGATAAAAAACCAACAGTGCTATGTTTAGAAGTAGGGGATAGAATTACTATCCTTTTCAGTACATTTTATATAGAACCTGAATCATTGAAGACATAGTATAAAATCAGACAGTATTCTGATAAATCTCGGAAACCAGAATAATCTTCATTTTGTGAATAAAGAAAATTAAATTTTAAACTAATTCGTATGAAATACATGCAACTAATATTGGTGGATCAATATTAGTTATAATTTCTACTTTTATCTCCCCAAAATGTAATAAATACCCATTTTCTCTTTTATTTTATAATTAGATTTTCTTTCCCATTAAAGTATGCTTAATTTTTTCATTCAATTATAGAATTACAATATGCTGCTAAAGTCTATATGGATCAAAATGTTGCTGTTATGTGCCATCGAGTCACTTGTGACTCATAGCGACCCCCTAAACTCGGCTCTGTCCTGTGCAAATCGCACTGTCTCTGACACACCCATCCCAATTATCCCAGTCACGGAATCAATCCACTTCCTAGAGGGACTTCCCCTCCTGTGCTGTCCCTCCACCCTACCAAGCATGATGTCCCTCTACAAGGACAAGTCCCTCCTTACAACATGTTCAAAGTATGTTAGACAGAGACTCAGAATCCTTGCCTCCAAGGAGCCACCTGGTTTAACCCTTTCCAGGATGAATCTGTTTGTTTTCCTAGCAGTCCATACTCTTGAGTATACTCAATACTCTTCTCCAGCACCACAGCTCATAGGCATCAATTTTCCTTCTATCCTCCTTAGTCATTGTCCAACTCTCTGATGCATAACAAGTGATAGCAAAGACCATGGCCTATATCAGACCCACCTTAGTCTTGAGAGAAACACCATTGATCTTCAGTACTTTGGAGAGGTCCTTAACAGCAGACTTTCCCATCACAATACATCTTTTAATTTCCTGGATACTGGTGCCAAGAGTGTTGACTATGGAGGCAAGCAAACTAAAGCCGTGAACAATCTCAATCTCTTCAGCATCTGTCCTGATGCTGCCAATTGGTCCAGTGGTGAGAATCTTTGTCTTTTTGACATTGAGCCTCAAACCATATTGGAGGCTACAGTCCTTGACCCTCTGCAGCAAGCGCTTTAGGTCCTCCTCAGTTTCTGCAATCAGGGTTGTGTCATCTGCATAACGCAGATTGTTGATAGATTTTGCACCAACCTTGAACCCACATTTCTTGTCATAGAGTCCAGCCTCCCTGATAATCAGTTCTGCATACAGGTTGAAAAGGTCTGGAGATAGGACATGTCATTGGCGTATGCCTTCCGAATTTTGAAGCATGCTCTCTTCTGACAACTGCCTCTTGTTCCAAGTATAGGTTTCACATTAGCATAATCAAGTGTTCTGGGATTCCCTTTCTTCTAAGAGTCAGCCATAGTTTGTTATGATCCACACAGTCAATCACCTTTGTATAGCCAATGAAACACAGATATACATTCTTCTGATATTCCCTGCTTTCAGCTAAGATCAATCTAACGTTAGCTACACTATCCCTACTATCACAACCCCCTCTAAAACCAGCTTGGACTTCTGGCAGTTCTCTGCTGATGTGTTGTTTCAGTCGTTTTTGGATAATCTTCAGTAGAATCTTGCTTGCATGTGAAATATATGATATTGTTTTATAGTTTCTACATTCTGTTGGGTCACCCTTTTTTGGGATGGGAGCAAATATAGATCTCTTCCAGTCAGTTGGCCAAGTGGTTGTTCTCCAGATTTCTTGGCACAACTTGGTGAGCACATCCAGGGCAGCATCTGTTAGCTGAAATCAATTGGTATACCATCTATTCCTGCAACCTTATTTTTTGCTATTTCCTTCAAAGCAGCTTGAACTTCCTTCATCACCACAGGCTCTTGCTCATATGTTATTTCATGAAATTCTTCTGTGTCAGCCAATTCCTTTTGATACAGTGACTCAGTATATTAAGGAAAAGTGGTAAGTATCCTAGATTACTATTGAACTTCTAGGAAATATTGATGCTTTCTACAATAAAAATGGGTAAACATTGTTATAAGTGACATTTGCTTACAAGCAACAGCGTGAATACATACATATTAAACATTAATAGTCAGGATAACTATTTTAAGCCAATACAACTTTTTAAATGTTTTATGAAGTCATGCTAAATCAGTTAATTGAAATTTGATTTTTTTCCAAGAAATCTCTTCATATATTTATTTAGTAATTTGGATTTTTATTTACTTGTATATAAATAGACTAGAACTTGCTACATAAATACAACCCTAATACTAAGCAATATGTTGTTTTTGTTGTTGTTATGTGTCATGAAATTGCTTGCAACTCATACCAAACCTATGTACAACAGCCATTAACCCTGCTCTATCCTGTGCCAATGTTATTGTCTGTGACATACCTACCCCCTTTACTCCAGTCACTGAATCAATCCATCTCACCAAGGGACTTCCTTTCTTGTGCTGTCCCTCCATCCTCCCAAGCATGACTTCCTCTCCAAGGACAAGCCAAATAATTATTTCCAATTCCTTTCACAGCATTCATTTGGTGTTGTAGCATGGTTCAGTTAGATGGTTTTGATGTGTGTTGATGAATAACATTTTGAAGAAAATTAAGAAAATGTCTCCCTCTGTGAAGATTTAGAACTTTAAATATCACTCTCTTCTTATTAAGAAGCAAGCACTTAACCCACTACATCACAGAAAAAGACTTTCTTCTTCAAAAGTTGGATAACTTATTGAGAAATCATTAATTTATTTCACTGAAATAATATTTTAAACGATGTAAAAAGAGCAAGGCAATATGAAAACAGCCAAGTCTGACCTCTGCTCCATTGAACAGCATCCACGTACAAAACTAATTCCTATAAAGTTAGACAGGGTTCCCCACATTTCTTCAATTACTTCAATGATTTCCAATACCAATCCTACTATCCTACTGAGTCCAAAAGCCATTGCATAGACTTTACAAAACCATTCTCGAGCTTATAGATCACATGTTGTTGTTGTTGTGATGTGCCGTCGAGTCGTTTGCGACTCATAGCGATGCTATATATAGATCACATAGACCTTATAAAACCATACTCTGTCTTATAGGGTTTTTAGGGACGTTAAGAGACTTTAATTTGGGTTGGCAACAGGATACTCTCTCTTGTCTAGAGAGCTTCTCAAACATGGTCACCGGTCCTTTGACGTTCAGCCTCACAGCTTGTGTCAATACCACAAAGTTTCTATAGTCCTTCCAGTTATGGACTCTCCCCTCAGCCCTCTAGCAAGATTGGAGAAAGGCCTCTGGCTTTGTCTTGGGTTGGTCTCAAGTTCTCAGGGGAGGCAACTGCTGCTCCTGTTGGTTGGTCCTAGGCTGGGTGCTGTAGGAATCTTTGTCCCTGGAGGGCAATTCCATTGCTTCTTTCTTGCTGTTGTAGAGATTTCCAATTTTTTATTTTGAAAGGCTCAATTTAAACCCAGTGGGGTGTTTAAACTAGT